ACTAAAAAAAGAGTAGGGAGTGATTTTTAGCTAAAAATATAAGAGTTTTTTGAAAAAATGGGATTAAACAGAACTTACACCCTTATACTCCGGAAAGTATGGAAAAGCTGGTTTCAATCGTAACTATAATTGAATTGCTAGAAACTATGTTAATTGATGCAAATTACCGATAAATTTTGTCTGAAAGCGTTAAGTAGCGTACATGTGATACAGGAGTCACAAAGGATAAAAGGTTTACACATTGACCATAAAACCAAGCACCATTACTTATCTAAAGTTGGATGTGAAGCTATGTTATATAAGGAGAAAAAGAAAGATGGATCTAAAAGCTAAAAGGAATTATGATAGGCTATAGCATGAAGAAAAAGCATACAAAATTTATATCCCTGAACTAAATAAATTCAAAATGAGAGATGTTAAAATTTGATGAACAAACTTGATCCTTTCTAAAAGAAAATTATTAAAAATTCAATAAAAATCAAATATTAAAGAACTTATTATTTTTTATAAGGAACAAACTAATGGAAATGTAAATAATTCAGAAAAAACTGACAGATACTATAGAGAAGATATACAACAGATGAAGACTGAGAAAATTTTTGCCATCCACAGTGATGATGAACACAATAGCAATTCATTGGAAAAGCCAACCGATATCCACAAATAAATGAGAGATGGAAATGATAGCAGGAAAGTCTGTACATAAGACAGCGCGAACTACGAAGCCTCCAGAAAAATTAAAAGATATGTATATACAATACAATGAAGGATACCTAGACTATGATAAGCTAAGAATCGCGAAAGTGAATGCTGCTACATGCAATTACAAGAAGAATTGATTCAATGGAGGTATGATTTGGGATTAGTTAAGACTCATCGCTAGAACTTATTAAAAATCGCTGTATATTCTAAAAAGGGATGAAAAGGGTAATTTAGAAACAATTTACAAGCAGACTAGTAGCAACCGGATTAAGTCAAAGAAGGCATTATATGAAGATGGATAAGCCCAGTATGGACTGTAACCTTTCGAACATACTATCATTGAAGTTTACAAAATACAAAATAATTTTTCGATGTAAAAACTGCATGTTAATGGATACTTGGATAAACCAATTTACATGGAACAACCATTGGCTTTAAGATCAGATCCGACCAATATCTTGTAAACAAAAGTATATGGATTCCACATCGAAAATCTGTATGATGATTATTAAGTCTTTAAGATTTAACTTGACAAATCAGATCGTGGTTTATTTAAAAGATAAGATAAAAATTTATCATGCAGTATATGTGGATGATGAAGGGATTTATATTCAATTCTGATAAATGACATCATCTCTCAACTATCTAAGTAGTTCACATACGAAGTCACTAAAAAAACAAAAAAGTTTTAGGGAAAAAATTTTAAAAAAAATTTGAAATGATGGAATGTACCTATCACGACTCCAGGATATGGGTGAAAATCTTGATGACAGCATCTTCGCCACCTTGTCAAAACATTCAAGAAGCAATAGGTTCATTGATGCACCACAACAGGACAAGGCAATTAGCTTTTGCAGTAAGTATTTGCCAGATATAATCCAAGATCCCAGATAGAAACCTGGAAAAGCTGTACAGAGGATTTTAGATATATTAGGAACAAATGCTTGTTAGTGTCTTCAGACATGGAAATTAAATGTACATCAATGCAAGTGGGTACCACTGAAGATGAAAATCATTTGGAGGTTATTTCATTAAATTGGTAAAAAATTTCTAAATTGGAAGTGCAACACAAAAATAGTTGCTCTATATACAATGAAGCGCACTTTTAGCATCTGTACGTCATGTGAATTAAATGGTACACTTTTTTACTTTAAGAATTGGGTCAAATGATCTTATTGAACAAACCAATAAAATTAAAACAGACTGTCAAGCATTAATAGATTGATAAAAAAAAAAACAAGTACAGTCATGCCACATAATAGAAATATTCTTTGTTAAGGATGAATATGAATGAATCATCATTCCTCAGTTGTGTTCACAAACAAGAGCGATATTTTAACAAAGTTCTACCTAGGTGAAAATTAAAAGGTGGACTATTAAACTAAGGACATACTGACTGATAAAAATTATATCTTTAATACAAATAAGGGGGGATTGAGTATTGTTTATAAAGCTAATTTTAGTTTTAATTTTGCAAAATTGAATAATTGTAAAAGAATGAGTTAAAATGTATCGTTGAGAGAGTTCATTATTATGGTTTGGTAGAATGTGGTAAGATTTCTTGTCTGATTTTCTCCAATACAGGTTTTTTTTTTTTTTTTTTTTTTTTTTTTTTTTTTTTTGTATACGCCATAATGTATTTTTGTTAGAAGTGGATGATTCTTTTGAGAATGTTATATATATACGCCAATCTTAAAAAACCAACAAAACGGCCTGGCATTCAAAAAGAGACCCTTTTAATGAACAAGATTCTACTTTCAGGTTTTGCAATCCTAAGTTTTAACAGCCATTTGCTAGATGACGAAGGTATGTTACCAATTTTTTGGCCATTTTTTCAAATGCTTTCTGAAAAAATTTTAACTTTTTTCCCCCCAAGACTAGACTTAAATAATTTTTTTTTTTTAAATCTAGATTACAACTTCGATTTATTGTGCTTATATTTTATTAGATGTTTTGCCACATTTTATGTGTTTAGCTTAGCATTATTGATTGATTTATTGATTTTAACCAAGTCTAAACATCTAGGATTCAAAAATAAATAAATAAAGAGTAGGAGTAAAGTTTTCAAAACCTCAATTTAAATGTTAAAAATCAGGGACTTTCAAACATAAAAAATCCTTAAGAATCTTTGGCACATTAAGGAGAAATACTTACAATAATATCCCATGAAGAGTCTATTAAAACAGTTTCTAGTCGTCGCATCAGTTTTTACATTTTAATTTCTGTTAAAAATTTCACTACACATGCTTTTGCTAGAAATTAGGCATTTTCACCGGCATTCTTGCTTTTGAATTACATTTTATCACTCAATTAAATTAAAATTTTCTTCAACATGACCTGGGACGTAGTGGTTTATTTCCTTAAATTACATTATTTTCACAATTTCAGCTGCTTCACTTTATATTTAACTATTATTCAAATAGCAGGTTTTAGCACTTCTGCATTTTTATTTGAATTTAAGACTTCCCACTTACTATTAAAATCCCGGATTCTGGGTTTCTGACCTTTAAAAATCTTGACTGTAAAAAAAGGTAGCCATCTACTTACTTTTATTTACTTACTCATTTACAATCTTTTGATATTACGAAATGTAACAATTCCAAATACTTAGATTTAATGTTACACCACCATTACATGTAATACTTGTAGTTCAGAATATATCAGAGAGATGAAAAATGATCTTAATTTTAGGATTAGTAATCACAGATTATACATTAAAATATTTCCACACACACAGCAACAGACTAGTTTTCCACATGCCATAGCAGTGTCAGAATATTTTTACTCGCACAATTTCAGTGATGCCATTAAAATATCGGATTTTATTTCTAATTTAAAAAACAGACATTTTAAAGAGTGACTTAACTCATTCTTAAACACAAAACACTCTATACACATGAATGAAACCAACTTTGACCCAAAACTTCTTAAACCATTTTATGCATCTTTCCTCACAAACAACTATTTAGTTTACAGAATTCCTTTCAAAAATTTAACAAGAATGTTATATAACATGGAATTTCAATTTTAAAAGACCTACTTTTATTAAATTTAAATTCACCTTAATAGGTGAAAACCATAATGGTGAACTATAAAGGTAAAATTTCTTTCCTGCAAGATTTAACTTCTTGCATCTTATTTTGTTTAAATTGATTTTTAACAATATTTTTCACAGGCATTTCTCAGGCATTAAGTAAGACTCAAGTCTGTTAAGAACTCGGAGGAAGTTTACCAAAATAGACAAGGCTAATAAAGATTTTGGCATTATTTTCAAAACGTAAATACAGTACAAAGTCCAAAACTGAGACCTTCAGACTAGCCTCCCAATTTTTTTTCCCCCTCACAAATAAGATATACAAAAAGAAGCAGGTGTGCCTTAAAAGTAATTTTTTCCACACAAACTGAGTTTCCTCATGTCATTTCAAACATCTGCCGTCTAGGGAATGATCAATGACAATAAAATTATAATTACAGTTTTAGTAAATAATAACATCTTTACAGATATTTTCAAACATATTTAGCTACCAAATTTCACGATTGGGACGAGTGCCACAAATCTGAAGGTTTACAGATACAAGAGAAAAAGAAATTTTCTGATTAACTCAGTATGCAAAGAAATGCTAAATAAAGATATGACTGAAGTCTTGTATTGCAATTACAATGCCTCAAACATTATCAGAATGGCGAATTTCTATGGTATGTTTTCAAATTCAGAAAATAATGCCATTTCAGCTTTGTGACATATCGCAATTTTGGTCTTAGTTTCACATGAAGATGATTCAGGGGGGAAAAACTTTCTTTGTGGAAAATACCTCTCTCTTAAAGAAAGAAATATTATGCAAGAATATTTTTAATTTTATAATTTCTACATGTCACCTTACTATACAACTAAAGACCTAAATTTTGGAATTGACGAAGTCTCCGTGATTGCAGATCTTGGATGCTGTACAATATTTCTAATTCTTTTTTTTTAAATGGCAAATTTTTTTAATGCTAATTGGAACAAAAATTCTTTGTCTTATTCTGATGGAATATAAAACTTAGGGAAAAGCAGAAAATACATATATTTGTATCATTCCCTCCAAATAAATATTTCTCATATATATTTTGATTTTACTTGGCAATAGGAAGCTGCATATGAAAAAGTTTTTCATATAGTTAAAGTATACTTACATGCAATGAATTTATTATATTTAAGATTATTTTATATAAGTTTAATTTTTAAAGCACATATTTAAAATTAATTTAACCATATCTCCATAAATTATATTTCTTTTTATTAATAAATGAGCACTTACCACTTTAAGATGACCAGTAAAACACAAAAGTGGAATGTCAAAATGTGAAATATTAGTGTGCAATCTTAAATAGGAAGTAAGCTGTAAATCAGGAACTGTCGGCTTGAATGTTAGAAATGCCACTGGTGCAGACTGCCCAGGTTTTAATACAACTGAATCTTTCATTCTTATCTGAAAAGACATCTCTATTTTACTACATATAAACATGCACACATACATATGGATGTATACAGAGGCCAAAATAAAAAGGGATAAAGAATGATTAAATTTTCACTTTGTATATTAAATATTACAAGAGAACAAACTTAATAAAGTACAAATTTTATTTAGGAACAGTTATAATAGTAAATCTGACCACTTCTTGCACATATCTGAAACAAAATAGCAATATATCACAATAAAAATACTTATTTTCAAATTTGTCTCAGAAATGTATTTCTGTGCATTTTCAATGTATTTTTAATTTCCAGCCATCAATGGATAATGGCTTAAAAAAAGTTTGAAATTCACAGCATACTTTCTCTTTGTACATTCTAACTACACCAGAAGTCAAAATAATGGTTTTGAAATTCAATTATAAAAATGGTCTTTTCTAAAAGCCTGTGCAAAAACTTAACTAACATAACTTTAACATACTGCATATGGTTTTCGCATGCACGATTTAATCGTGCAATAGGGATACAGGAATACAACCAGTCTTCAATAGACAAAATGTTAGCAGCATATGTCGGTTCATTTGCCTATATACTCAAATTATCATATACGAGAGCCATCCAGGAAGTAGATTACGTTTCCGTCTGTGTCCGCTAGGGGCGGGGCTAGCGCGGCCATCTTGAGGTCAGAGCGTTGCGCAGCTCAGTCTGCATCTAGCCGTGCTAGTGAGAGGTTCGTGCTGTGCTCCGTTCAGATACTGTGACGGTTTGAAATGTCTGCGTTAATTGAAAATCCCGCGGCTGCGAGGTGCGCTCAGTAATAAGGTTTCTGACTGCAAAAACCTGTAAACCGATAGAAATCTATCGGCAGCTTCGTGAAGTGTATGGGGACAAACATTATCACTGAAGGTGGAGTGCGTCAGGGGGTCATAAGATTTCAAAATGGCCGAACAATGTTTCACGACGAAGATCGAAGTGGGAGACCCAGCATAGTGACCGCCGAACTTCTCGAAAATGTCGATGCTAAGTCGTGAAAATCGAAATTTCACATAACGGAAACTTCTTTGAGTTTTCCCCAAATTTCCCACAGAATAAGTGCTACAGCGTTTTGATACGACGCACAGCTGCAGAAGATAACGAATGGTTGAAGGCGCAGGCGGCCGAATTTTTCGACGAAGGAATTTCCAAGCTCGTACATCGCTACGATAAATGCCTTATTTTATGGTGACTATTAGAAAAGTAGTATTTGAGTGTGGCTTTCATCTGTATATAATAAAATTGTTTCCTATACTTTGTTTATTTTTTTATTCCAAAACGTAATCTACTTTTTGGATAGCCCTCGTATATAACAATAAAATCATAATACAGTTCATTCATCATCATGTTCACATATATTACAGATTTTTCTTGCTGAGCTTATTCCAGTGTTTCTGATGAACACATTATATACAGGGTTGCCACTCAAACAGGAGAGTGAAATTCCCTGATATTTCCAGGTACGTTTTAAGAAAATTCCAGTCTATCCGCGTACTGACTGTACTGAGAGGTAAATTAATTACGGTACCACTTGAAAAAGCAAATTTTGACAATAACATATGACTTATACATATATAATCCCCAAAGCATTATTACTATAACTATAATAGGAGTTGTTTTCTCCCCCCCAATCTGGATTAAGCTAAATGAAAGAAATATGTGCATTAAATTTCTTGATGGTATGTCATCATACTGCTAGAATTAATTTCAGGATTATGCCAGAGAAAATTTCCTGAAATTTGAAAGCATTACCTACTACTAATAAATAAATTTAGAGGCAAGAAGTAATATTAAATGATATGGATAACATTAAAGTAAATTAATTAAAATTTTAATTGAGATAATCAATGATATTTTGGCAAATATAGTTATATTAAATGGTTAATCTAGGTGACTAATTACTAAACTGGTGTGCAAAACTTAAGCAACAATGTAAAAATTTAGCAGATAGCCATGAAATTGCAGAAAAGGAGGTCTGGAGATCAATGCAAATATCAGGAACTGAACGTGAGAGGCGACGTGAGCGTACACAAAATGCGTGATGTCGGCAGGCGCAGCACAACAGTAGAATAAAAGGAAGGACGGAGACGCAATTCAACATATTTGCTGCAAGTGCCAGTGAAGTCAGCTCGTGAAATATGGCTAGAAGAAATCACCTGGATGACTTCACACATGAAAGAATGTTTCGGAAAGCTGGAGGAGGGCTGTACTGTCACCAGTGTAGCTGCGGAGTTCAGAATCAACAAAAGTGTCGTTTCACGCGCTTGGAAAGCGTTTCAAACCACACGTACAGCTGTTAGAAAGGATGGTGGTGGCCGCCCGAGGATGACAACTGTAGGGGATGACCGACACATAGTCCTGCAGGCGAAAAGAGGCCAACAGCAGTCAGCATGCGCCACTACTCTGCAACTCTGTACAGCAACGGGGCGACAATTATCGCGCTTTACTGTGGCCAGGCGGCTTCACAAAGGGGGCCTATTCGCAGGCCATCCTGAACACTGCCTCCCGTTAAAAGTTCGCCACCGTTTACAGTGGTGCAGAGAGCACAAAAACTGGACAACTGATCAATGGAGTTGTGTCTTCTTTACAGATGAGAGTCGGTTCAGTACCAGAAGCGATTCTCAATGCGTTTTGATTTGGAGAGAGGTCGGGACCTGGTTTTATCCCAGTAATATCAAGGAAAGACACCATAATGGTGGTTCTGGAGTTCTTGTCTGGGGAGGTATTATGCTGAACGGGTGAACTGAGCTCCACGTTTTCAACAGAGGGTCTGTAACCGGGGATCGTTATTGTGAGGAGGTACTCCTTCCCCATGTGCGTCTGTTCCGAGGTGCCATTGGCCCAGACTTAATTTTTATGGATGACAATGCACGGCCACATCGGACTCTTGCTGTTGAGGAGCTACTGGAAAGTGAAGATATCACTCGAATGGATTGGCCAGGGTACTCCCCAGATTTAAATCCCATCGAACATGTGTGGGATGCTTTGGGGAGACGCATTGCAGCACGCTTACATCCTCTGGAGAACACCCAACAATTCAAACAGATGCTGATTGAGGAATGGGAACTCCTACCGCAAGAAATGTTGCACCAACTGTTTCTGAGTATGCGGAAACGGTGCGAAGCAACCATTGCAGTGAGGGGAGGGTATATCCCATATTAAGGAACATCTGCTTGTTGTTCTTCCTCTTGGACAGAGAATCATGAGTCACGATACCATGCGTTCAATAAAGCTTATTTTTGTTTGATTCCATACCGTATGCATTATATTCCTTTTTCAGCTCCGATACTTTCGTCATCCTTTACATACATAATACTCTCCTTCTTTTCTGCATTTCATGTCTCTCAGTCGATTTCTCGTGGAGTTATGGCAAAAAAACCCTGCTGTTGCTTAAGTTTTGCACACCAGTGTATTTTTTTACTTTTTCAAAATGACAAATACGGCATTGACTAAAAAGAAAAAAAGAAGTTTTAAATTATTTTGAGGTAAAATTCTACAATACGCTACGGCCTCGGTACGATTGTGAAAATTGTCGCCAACACCAAAATGACCTGTTTACTGCACATCGCAAAATCATGTGTATACCGCACGTGGACATTAGAATAGAATACATGAGTACCATATATTACGATAAAACCGATTTTGCTTTATACTTGAATATGCATTTCTTTAGTTCAACATGCACTGCACATGCAAGTCTCGATTCTCAAGGTTAGTGAAAACTTACTTGGCCTTTCTAAAGGACAATTGAAGCTGTGAAAACTGGCTCTATGGCAACTGTCCAAATGACACTAATGTGATACATAATTCGGCAAGAAAGTGATCGCTTCCAATGTCGGCGCAAAACTCGCTTTTTTGGGGGGGGGAGGGATTGCCGTATGAAATTCCCTGAATTTTTTGGTCAATTTTCGAATTTCCTGACTTTTTCCAGTTTTCAAGGTAGTATGGCTACTCTGCATATATATCATTCTTATTTCTAAACGTATAATTAAAATATTTGCTGTTACTTTCAGAATAGGTAATAAATAAAGCCGTGTTGTGATTTTGGTTTTGAAAGTATAAATAATGTACTCAGAAGTATCCTCTTCTACAGACTTTAATGTAACTTGAAGCCTGATGTTAAGCTGAAAATTACGCAGTTGAAGCTACTTTTCTTCTTTCGTAATTTAAAGCATTTCAGAAATCATGCTAATATGAAACAATGAAAAAATAATGATAATAAATAAACCAATGTAGTGATTTTGGTCTTGAAAGAGTAAATAATGTACTCTAAAGTTGTTTTTTCTATAATGCCTACAGACTTTAATGCAACCTGAAAAATTATGCAGCTGAAACTACTTTCCTTCTTTCGTAATTTAAAGCATTTCAGAAAATATGAAACAATGGAAAAATTAAAATACAGATTAGGAAAAAAAAAGGGAAACTGCATCAAACTGACAAGAAACAGCTCTTTATTTAAACACTATCAACAAACTCCGCTAAACCTTTTGACTACTAACAGGACATATATGCTGCACTAAAAGTTTAAAAATTAATGCTGGTTTAAAAAGTACTTAGGATCTCCTGAATGTTAGGGATCATCTTCCAATAGCTGGAAAATCAAGATGCCATTTCGTTGTACACAAATGAACACACAGAAAAGGACAAATATGAGTTGCCCGAAGTGTAATGTTGGGTTATGTAAAGAATGCTTTACCCTGTCCCATACAATGTAAAATCTATTTCGCATAATAAAATTTTCCAGAATAATAGGTGTGCTTATGGTAAGTCGATTGCTATGTGTGGGACATATGTATCCTACCATTAACTATGGCTGGAACATGTGTCCCTGCCTTTGGCTTGAAAAACCATTTGTCAAAAAAATCCCAAATGCTAAATTTACCTTATTTATGACTTATTTTGTTCACTTGGATAGAAAAAAGAGTCATTTTTTTAAAAAAAAAATTCCTATGAATAATACGTAATGCTGTTATCACATCTATA